CCGAAGTGTTATAGTGCAGGCAGAGTGAGTCATTTTTGAAGATCAGGGGCGCGGGAAAAGATCGGGACTGACAGCAAAGCTTTGATAAGGGAACGTTATAGTGCACAGAATGTAGGTGTGTGCGGAGATGCCTTATTTCAGTTAAATCAGCAGGAGAAAGTGTCGAGCATTACACTGGCAGGGGCAGTGATCAACCGTAGCTGTACGCTTCGGCAGGCCAGGATGGATGAGAGACTACGTCAGGATCGCCTGTGGGTACGCTGTTTGTACTCTGTCAAGGAAAGCTCGAAGGGCATGCTGTGGCGAAGAGATTACGTGGTGTGTGACATGTCGGAAGAAGTCCGCAGAGTGCGCGCACGTTGCTTTGGACTGACATACGCGGCTTGTGAAAAACCTTGCTTCCATAATTCCACCAGATGCTCTGTGCTCTCGTGTGGGTCTCAATGGATTGCGCTCTCATTTAAGGGGGGGCCATGATGCACGGAGCTGTGTTCCAGTGTGGGCCGCTGGTCTCGCGACTGTTTTTGCAGGTTAGCATCAGCCACTAGTTGTTTGTTGGAGAATTGAGTCTTATCTTTGGTTTTCAAGAAATATATAATATTACAAGTGATGTGGAGGTTCAGCTGACGTTAAAGTGGACAGAGAGGGTGTGCTTAGAAGTCCCAGTTCGGGTTGTGGTAGATCAGTTTTTTTAATTCACAACAGTCAACTAATCACACAGTACGGGGGCCCATTGTGGCATACGGAAACCGCAAACCCGGCACACCGCATAATGGGCCAATAATGGCGTCTGTGTGCAGCGAATAACGTTGTTATGGAACATGAGATCAGAGTAGATTTGTCTTGCGCGAGGTAGAGATTTGGAGGAGTAGTAAGGAGCAGGATGAACAAGCATGATTATCTGAGCTATATGAGGGTATTTATAGTCTCTGGATCAGCTGTGAGGGTCTACCATGCGGCTAGCACACAATACATGGAAATCTGCATGCCTGACTACAGGTGCATCACACTGGATATCTGAAGTCATGTACTATCGCAGTACGGCCTATCAGTAGATAAAAGGGGTGTGTGTGTGTGTGTGTAGGTGTGTGTGTGTGTGTGTGTGTGACAAGATTACATGTACTTGTCTGAAAAATCATCTTATACCTCATCATCGTTAATAAAAGTACTCTCATCTGAGAATCTATTATGTACATTAGCCAAAACACATTACAGTTCAAAAATATATATATATATTTAACTGTAACTTGAACATAATGAGACAAGGAAACAATAACAGCACTAACTCTCATTAGAAGGTAGTTTTATTAACGCTTTGTTATATGCTTGTATCGCCTTTAATTATGCGTGGCAGATGGTGCTCTGCAGGGAAAACACAGTAGTAGTCTTTGGAAGTCTAAACTCAGAGTTTCATAGTAGAATTGTGCAGGAAACTATTTTTGTATCGTTGCTCATACCATGACAAATGCAGTGGCAGAAACACTGACAAAAAGCTGGACATTAATGGAATAGAAGCAAATGATGGCCATAAAGAATCAATAAGCTAGACGTCATATCTTTAATTTTACTGTCTGAAAGTGCAGTTTTTTAAAATCCTTTTTAGACCTTTTAAATCAGAATTTAACTTCTTAAGTCTGATTTGTTGGAATATTGTCTTTTATACTTATATACAGAAAATTGCACAACTTATTCAGATGTATACAGATTTAGTATTGGAATTTTAAAACAGGAAAATTCAGACCACATAAATTGAGACTGATGGTTTTCAAAATAAAGTTTTTGATCAATTCAGTGGTATTTAAATGTATGCATATATCCAGCAGTGATTTAATTTCACAATTAGGTTTTCAGTTGCTTGTATAATTCAAATCTTAATGGCCATTATTTCACTCCATAGAATTGTGCATTAGGGGTTCATTTTTAATCTTTTATTCATTCATGCATTTTTTACTTCATAAAACTAAGTCATTTAGTTTGAGTTGTTCAGCAGAAAGCCCATCGTATGGAACAGACCAAGACCAAGCACCAGAGGAATACCTCCGACAGGCAGAACATTACAAGCTCCCAGGCTGCCTTCAAAAGTACAACAAAACATCCATGCTGATCTGCTTAGCCATCCTGCCCCTCAACCCCCTAATGAACAAGGGCAAAAGAGCTCTTGGGCTTAGCCTCTCCCTCTTACCCTAACTTAACAAGATGTCCCCCTACTCGCTCGCTTTTCTTTCTCTCACAGACACATGCACGGTCGCACACACAGACGCACACCTCCCAAACCCCAAACCACTAACCCTCAGACCAATCTGTCTGTGGCACTAAAGTATTATTAGACTTACACACTCTCAAAGGGGAAACAGTGAGTACTGAGAGCTGGAAGATGAGATATGCTACAGGGGCTACTAGTTCCATTAAAATGGCATTCACTGGGGCCTTTGTTATCATCGGCCCTGACGTTTTCAGGATGTAGTGGGGCTTGCCGATCCATGACCATCTCATTTATCTTTCAGGATTTGAAGGAAGTTGGTGTGAAATTGACACCAATGAGTGTAGCTCAAATCCATGCCAAAACCAGGGCGACTGTGTGGACCGGGTCAACAGTTACAGGTAAAGAGCGTTATCCATAACCAGCTTTTCATTTCAAAGGAGGCAAAAAAATGTCAGGCTTTGTTGTGATGGACTTCAAACATTAGTAAACTAGAGTATCTGTATCAGTAAACATCATTCCTGTATAGGTTTGAGGCTATTATACTGTAATTTTGATAGTAGATTAACCTGAGCTAATAGATTTGTTATTTTGCTAATAGAGTGTATGCCTTTTTTTTAAAATGTATTTAATAGATTTAGTAATGTATTGTTTCAGGTTGAAATGAGGTGAAATTGTTAAATGTCTACAACAAAATAAATCTGCCTTAATTGCTCTTGTCATACAGGCTTTGGGTTTAGTTAAACTAAAATGCAGGCCTACATGTTACTGCACTGCATGTGACTAAATATGATGTGTAATTAATATCATTAAAATTGTAATGATTTTTTTTCGCTCTGTGCATATGCCAGTAGGAAACAGATAGATCTTCCTTTTTACATCAGAGACTGAATATCAATATTAATGATTTTTCTTTTCCAGCTGTGATTGTAAGATGGGATTTTCTGGCCTTCACTGTGAGGAAGACATCAATGAGTGCACCTCTAGCCCTTGCCACAACACTGGTGTTTGTCAGGACCTCGTGAACAAGTAAGTATGAATATATAACACCTTTGCCTTTACTTATTGTGAAAAAAAAGAAATCACATCTCATTGTAAAGCCTAGACAGAATTAATTTCCTGAGTTTGTTTTAAAAGCCGAATGAGTAGAACCGTTCTCCAAAGAAAACACGAGGTTGTTCTGTTCCTCTTCAAAGTGTTCCGGTTTATATAACAAGCCCGTCTTCATCCTTGACACACATAAGCTGCTATTCTAAAGACAGAGAGCGAATTCAGCAGGAGCACATCATGTATCTAGATTGGGCTTTACTCCACTGGTGCTTCTCTCTGCTGTGCTTAATGGGAGCCCCGGGGCTTCCAGGCTTAGTCGGACAGATGGGTAGAGGAGTCCCAGGGCCAATTTAAGTCCTAAATGGTTTGTCTCCAGTTTGTCTCCCGTCATGATTTTGCTCCCATGTGACCTGGCCCTGCTCAGAGCGCTCTCCCCTGATTGCACAGTCCAGGGAGTTCACATCAGGTGTGTTTTAACCTCGTTGCCTACCGCAAACACTGCACACGCCGCAATCTCCATCTTTGTGACCCAGCAAGTCGAACAAGTCCATCCGTGGTGTGGTGATGAAACAGACTCTTCGGCATACCCACTGAGCCTTTGCTGTCTTTAATGTATCCATCCTTTTTCTTAAGATACTGTGTATATAAATAGAAATAATCATAATTGTTACTGACAAGCAGATGTTTACAGGCAGCTACGTGCAATAAAGGAAGTTGCAGTAATTGTTGCGGTAATAATGTCTTAGGTCAATCAAGCCTTTAAAGTTTGTTATTTAAGCTGCACAGTTCTGTTGTGCCACATGACAATAAATACTGTTTAACATATTACAGAAATGTGATATGATGTAACTGGTTTACTCCTGAAAAAAAGTGTTAATCAAAAGATGTAGTTCACATTTTAGCACAGAGGTGTCTAATTGCATGGTTTCTTTCAATGTCACTCAAACAGAATAACCATTTCCTCTGAGGTGTGCGGTCAGGGGATATTAGACCCACTGACAGCTGCAGAGAGGGACTTGAATTGAGTAAACCACATTACTGGACAGGTTAAGCTGTTCCCTTTAGTAATAAGTCACCAAACATAGTTTAAATTAAGTTTCACGCAGAGAAGCTTAATTACTGTCATATTGTTAATTTTTGCCGAACAGCTGCCGGTCCGTTTGAGAATGAATGAACCTGCAGTTTGTCTTGGTGGGTTTGGAACACACACCGTTTTTGTAATTGTGAGCACAAAAAATAATTCGTCCTATTTTAAAGTCACAGTAAGAACTAAACATAGAAGTATCCTATCGTTACTGTCTACAGTCTGACACATTGGTCTTCACTTGACTTTATTTCCTAATGATTGAGTGTTATCACATCTCTCTTAGGTTCCACTGCATTTGCCCTCCTGGTTACTATGGAACGCTGTGTGACCTGGATGTGAATGAGTGTGAAGTTTCACCTTGCCTACATGAGGGCATCTGTATCAACACGCCCGGGGGCTTCAAGTGTGTCTGTCGCCCTGGATACTCAGGTAGCTCTTTTGCCCTTAGGTGACATGGAGATCAATATGAGAGTCTAAAAAGCTTACCGTGACTCCTGCGGCCGCACGCTATTGAGGCAACTCTGACACAGATCTGGCTTAGTGTAAAAAAAAATGCTCCACAATGCTTGCTTTTAATTAGCTCGCCTGCCTCTGCAAGATACAGTGCTTGCTTTTCAGTAAAGCTAACAGGAGATAAATTCATGTCACCTGTTTTATCTGATGAAAACGTCTCAGTGTCTGTTAGCTGCCTTTATTTCATTTCATCAGCCGCTTTAGTCTCAGAGCACTATTGTTGTTTTACTTCAATCCATTTGTCTTATTTTCCACTCAGACGGATTTCAAGCTATTTTAGCGCGCACGTGTGTGTGTGTGTG